AAGGGGGCCGAATACTTTCGCAAGGCACTGTATTTATTCTCTTGTATCACTCTTTATATAAACATGAATACTTGTACACAACACTTTTAAGTAAAAAGTGGTTATACATATATAACATGGATATGTGAAAAGACAACTTTAAGCAACAGATATGAATAAAACTAGCGAAGTTAAATACACAGATGACTGTAAAACCAATAGCTAATCAAAGGAAATCTGCCTGTGTTTTATCTTTTTGGATTCTCACATGTGACTGAACATTATTGGTCTTTATGCCACATTACTCTTTATCTCAAATGACTGCTTACCACTGCTGTATACTGAGCCTGCTGCTGGAACACAGGCTGCATCATCATCTGTTGATGAAGGATATGTTGCTGCTGCAACTGTATGGACTGCTGAACAGCTTGCTGATACTACAGAAACAAAAGGAAATAACACTTAGATTACATATTTAGTCAAGCTTTGTATAAGGTACAGATCCAGCCATTCAAAATGCGCAGGGGAAACTGTATTGATTTAACAGGTTGCAGGGTACTGCTAGTTTTTTTTTAATAGGGGTGCACTACTTTGTAAAACCGCCAGGTGGAGCAGTGAAAGCTTAACATGGTATGTGAAGCATTTGGGTTGTCACCAGAAAATGCCTGGTTTCGAATTCCAGTCAATGCTGAGGGACAATCTTTTTCCAATTACAGAATTTAAGTATACTGTTTAGACTTTTAATCATTTTAAACTGTGTATAACAGCATGTTAAACATTAAACCGATCAAAAAGTAGATACATTTTATAAAAGCAAGATTGCTCAGTTAGACAAAAGCACACAGCCATATTCCACCTTCTTCATAAATATTTTATGCATCAAAGTCTTAAACTTGGTAATTTACAGTGGGTTATGGTTTTAACATGCTTTTTCTAACATTATAAAGTTTATATACTGTACTTCATAAAAAGTTAAAACCTTCTATTCTTTTCTAAGAATATGTAGTAAGAACACCATTTGCTCTAACTGTAAAAAATAGCTGTACTGATTTAAAACCACTTGATAGTAATATTAATATGGAATCGTGTGTAACTAAGCAGGTAAAATATCACAAGTGGATGTTTTGGAAACATTTTTTTTTTAAATGTTTATTGTCCTTATAGTGGTAACGAGCAAAGGACTGCGCACTGCACCCAGGAGGTTCAAAGTCCAATCAGAGAATTACTTTCGGTTTGTTTCTTTACTTTGCAGAATATAAAAAAATAGTCCACTATTATAGCTTGTTGTGAACACAATGTGTCTCTTTCAGGTTTACATTTCAATTGAGAAAATCTATATTTTGCCTTAATCCAAATTTCAACAGCCAGTAATCAGCCAACAATATAACTTTAAATGTAAAAGTTTAAACCATATATTGTACTGTGCAGTACTGAACAGTACTCTGGGAGGTTGTTTCTGGCAAAATTGGCTCTGGCATGAGTGTGTGTATCTGGATGAATTATTATACGTGATGGTGTTGTAATTAAGGATTTCTTCACAGAATTCTTTACGTTAAACAAAGGAGGGAAGAAGGGTTATTTTTACAATTGCCAGTAACCGGAGTAAGCTTATGAATATGTTGAAACCATACAATGACAGTGAAGACAAACGTGTTACACCTTTAAGCCAGTGGACTCTCTCAGTTGTGTATCACCTTTTTCACACTTGTTATAACGTTCCAATGATAATGCAATACAGAAGATAATAATAATATTTAATATGAATGACTATGAACGAGCTGTAAACTGAAAAGTTACAGAGAACCCACGTTGAGTCATGTCTTTTCAGCTTGGAATTTAACCTTTAGAGGAATCCTTTTGGCTATATTTTTTAACATTGACGTATGTGTAAAAATAGTTTATTATAGCGTGTTGTAAATGCGATGTGCCTCTTTCAGATTTACATCTGTGTAGCGGCGAGGCTTATTAAAATACAGGAATTAAATTTTCTGCTCCCTTGCCAGTCTTTCTCCTTCATCTCAGTGGTGCCTGATATAGTTCACAATTAAGGTGTTTTTCTAGCTGATAGAATGTCCTGATAAGGAGCAGCTCCCAAAAGCTGGTACCCATCAACCACCTTAACAAATGTAATTTCGGCGCCTAAAAGTCTGAGATTCCAAAGAAAAGTGTTATTCAAAGTTGGTTTATGACCCTAAGGTCAGAGGGCATGGTTTCTCATCATCAGCCAATCAGGAACTGGCTGGGCAGGTTAACCCCACGTGGGTCTCTGATGCCCATGAAACTTTCAACCAATGAACGGCCTGCATTTCCTCCAGGGAAAACAGGCAACACAGAGAGCCTGGAGAACGGTTCGCAGGGCAGAACAGTTGGAAAAGCAAAGCTCCCAAGCGCAGCACAGCTCCCAAGCCCGGGACATTCTAGCAGCACGTCTGCTGGACATTCAGCCTCAGGGCTCCACCTGAGCATCCTCAGACTCAGCCCGGACCACCACGTAACGGCCAGTGTGTCTGAGTGCCAGAACTTTCCTTTGTTCTAAGAGTCGAGGACGGAGGTTGCCAACATGTAACCAAAGGATCCACCCGAGGTTAGCATCAGCAGCAAGCCTCGTGAACAGGTCGGAACTGTGGACAGCTGAATCAGTATTCAGAACTAGCTTCATCAGGAACGAACTGGTCCTCTTCCTGACCTGCTGGGACCCGCAGTCACTTTTTCTCCTGTGCACAAACTCTGCTAGTTTCAGCCAACACTAACTAGCCGGTCTTCAGAGAGCATCAGCAGCGCATCGCAGGAATCTCTCACCAGCCGCAACAGCACTGCTTGGCACCGAGCCAGAGAGCGCCGATTGGACACAACAACCAGCCTGCCTTTGCTTCTTTGTCCACGGGAGATCTGAATCCCCACAGATTGGATGTGTATTCAACAGTCTGCATTACCGCTCGAGAATTCAATTGTTATCCCAAACAGAGTTGATATCAATTTAATTCCTAAGAGTGATGTACTTGTTTTGAGTATCTAGTGTAGAAGTTGTAACCAAGTTCATTTACGAAACGGTCTAAATGAATGATATACTGAATGTATGTCCCTCTTGATATTTGTAACTCTTCATGATTGAAAATATGTCTTTGGTATTCTGCTAACCCTCACGATAAGATCTGTTATGTTTATATGCACATTTTATGTATTAATAAATGTATTATTGTGTATAAGTACCTGTGTGTGTGCGTTGAGTTATCCCGTAAGGTTGGATTCTAATACCATCAAAAGAATCATTTGTGACTTACTGCTACAATTAAGAATTGTTCCAGTAAATGCACAACCCCTACACTACATCTGCGTTAAGAAAATCTATACTTTGTCTTTATACAAATTTCAGCAATGAGAAATCTAACTTTAAATTTGGATTAAGAAAAAAAAATCACATACTGCACTGTAGTGTCTTTGAAACCATATGGTATCATACTATATATACAGTATATTAATACAGTCAAATACGATCACACTGCCGTTCATTGCCATTTGGGTATATCTGTGATTCTGACCTGATGGGATTTGCGTGTGTGGAACAGCAAGAGGCGAGACCCGGCTGTGGGGGTGGGGTATTTTGATTATACTATGAATAAATACCTGAGGTATATCGTCCAAGTTTCAGAATTGTAAATAAGAAACCTTTGATGAGTCTGCTCAGACAGAAAAAGGTACTTTTTCAGAACTTGTGTACTGTGCAAAGTAGGTGATTTTGAAAACAGCTAGTGTTGCTTAAAGAACTTAAAATCTATCTGACTGTACTGTAGTTATCATGTAATTGAGCAGAAATCATCAGTGACTATTGGAAATGTGTATTGATGGAGAGTGAAATTAAAGCCCACTTCCCTTCCTCTTACTGTGAGGTGATAATGCGCTGGCTGGCACAAAACAATTCCTCCTTTCTGAGTATCCTGGAGATGGTTCATTCATTCACCTTTTGGTAATAAGGCCTGCTGATCTGGTTAACACCACAGGGAGAGGGGAGAATGTGATTGTTTGTGTAAGAAACGTGATGCATTTACTAAATTAAAGGGTGTTAAAAGTTTAATTAAAAAGTAAACAGAAAACGTACAGCTTACAAAAATATCCTAAGCTGATTTTGAGGAAGAAAAATCACCAATATTTCACATATAAAAAGTGTTTTCACTATCTTAACCTGTTGTTTATGGCTTTTAAAGTCATGCAGTGTCTAATTTAGGTAGGGAAATGTTATTGTTTCTTAATTTTTTATTTTCTTTAAAAATTAAAAGAATCATCAGTTGCTCATCGTGCCATACAATATTATGTTACATTTTTAGGTTTTTGAGAGACCTCTGAACACTTCACCTGATGCATAAAAATGTAGCATAATGCATTCTAGCATTATGAACTCGCTTACACCTGAGATCTGCTTTATTCAAACTAAGGTTTATAAAAATGCAAGCAGATATTAGATATTGTTTAAATAAAAGCTGTGAAAATGTTCACAAATCGCAATCTTTAAAATGCCTGTAGTTTAAAGGCTCTGGGTCACTTTTTGCAAAGTTATTGACATCTGAAACATTGTGTCTCATAAATAGGCATTTTAATAAGAAAATGAAGGTTATAAAAACCAGAGAAAACAAAGGACTCTTAAAAAGTTACAAGAAGTTTGACATTATTATTTATTATTAAGAAATTAATACTGTTAATAATTATCAGATACATTATTATAGTTTTGGTGATCTTCTTAATACCACTTTCTTATTCTCGATTATAATTATAATATTTACATTTTTGTTTTAAGGCTTGTTGTAAAGGCTTGTGTTAAATAGCCCCACTAAATAAAGTGTTTTGACTTCAGTGTTTTTATACTCTCACTCTTGGCAGTATACACATTTGCCCATTTATGTTGTTGATATAATTTAACTTTGAACATGTTATATAATATAGTGTCAATATAGTGTCCATAACATTTCCTTTTTTTTAAAATGAATGTTTATTTGTTAAAGAAAAACTTGTGCCCTGAGCAGGAATTAAACCCTGGCTTCTAGAATGCGAGTCAAACACTGAAGCCACTGTACCAATGCACCGCTTGGTAGCTTAAGCTATAGCTGAAAAGGAGAGGCAAATAACTTCATGAGTGAATGAGTAATCATGAGTGAATGAGTCAAATTGATGCAGAGGTTTAAAAAGAAAGTGGACTACGGAAATACTTTGAGTGAAATATATTATATATAGAACCTTAAGGTTGTAAAGTTATTAATTTCCATATTATATTCCCTATTAAGCGGATTCTAAAAAGTACGTTTTTACTGCGATAACGAGCACATGTATTCATAGAAAAGGTTAAAATAGCTTTTTATAAAGGATACAAACTTAATATAGTCAAAATGAGCACTTTCAAACTTTACCAAAATAACCACAGTAAGTGACCAAGTTAAATACTTTGATGCATAAAAAGAAAGTGGAATACTATTGTTTATTTTTTATTTAAACTACCACTACCAGCCATATACAGTTTGCATAATATATTTATATTCCTAAATCATTTATGACGTTCAGAGACATTAAGCTCCTCTTATTTTTATGCTGAGCTTCCAAACTTTACAATTTTAGTTGCAAAATTCCACATTAATATTCCATATTAATCAGATTTAAACATTTACAGTAGAGAATTTAAATGAAGCAATCATTTCACTAACAACTAATGCATCAACAAGCACCACCTGTCGATCATTTTGGCCAACAAATCACATACTGCGGTAGCCTGTAAATCAATTCCTGCAGGATAGGGTTTTACTGCGCATTTTGAATGGCTACATCTGTACCTACGATGATGAATGGAACCCATCATTAAAAAAAAAGTTTTCCTGTGAAAACCAAATCAGTGGCCACAGGTATGACTGAGGGACATAAGCATTATATTCTACTAGGGGTTTCCAAGATCTGTTTGGGGGTCCCAGTATTATACTAAGAGCTGTAACATTTTTGTGTTCCTCAACCATGTTTCATTCAATTGATTTAGATCAAATTGAAGGGAGTATCAAATCCAGAACATGCCCCAAAACATATAAAACACAAAAGTAATTTCCTATAAAATTAATCTCAGCATGTCTTTTTATCATTCTATCTAATTGAGTACATGGGGAGAGAGCATTTGTGAACCTTTTCCTTTGTGTAGCATGAATGCACAACACTGTTTTTCCAATATTATTTTGTTATTTCTTTAGATTTTTCTTTATCATATGTTAATCTCACCTTATAATCAAATTTATAATCACTCCTAGTATTTCTGTATCATTATTACAATCTATTGTTTATAGAGACCCCAGAATGTCATGTCTTTACACTGTATGTATGGTATTCTTTGAAGAACTACTGGCACTATTATTTGTGTAAGCAATGTATGTGGATTCTAATAAGTATTTTTCCAGTTAAAAACAAGAGGGCACATCTCAAGGGGTTTTATCTTGTCAAAACCCTTTGGATTAAAATTTAGCATGAATCTCCAAAGCAGACTCAGAACTTCCTGCATAAGTGCTTCTTAATAAATGCATACATTTACATAAACGGTTCTTAAAACCTGGCTTTATCATCTCCACATTAAATCTGGCAGCTGTCAATATGAATAAAGTTGCACATTTATTTTATTTTGTGAACCTGGGTTGTTCCAATTCTTTTGACTGTGCTATAGAATGCTGTCATTGCACTGAAATTACAGAAAAAAGAAGTAAAGGCAACACAGCCAAAACATAACCCACGTGATTGACTTCTCTGACAAACACAACAACATTAGTCTAAGGAGCTTTATACTTTATCAGGGTTAAATAAAGCTATGTTTAAAGGCTTAAAAGTCATTGCACATATTTGGGTAAGACTATGCAAACTGAAAAACCAGCTGCATCTGCTGATAAAATTCAATATAATTAATTGGAAAAGAGTTGTGAATGGGTACAACACGTAAACGTACAGCATGTATGTGTTTCAAAAACATTTACAACATACAAATGTCATCAATTCCAAGTCAAAACTGTGATACTACAAAACAGCAAAAATACTTGTGTGCAGCAAAAAAAAAAGTATAGAATGTAAGTTTAAAAGTGTACAAGTTCTACAAGCGTGCCACCACTTAAAAAACTCACTGCTATGCTTCTCAAAAATTGAGTTTGGTAAACTCATATACTTGCAACACTTCTATATATTAACAACATTCCAGATTCAGGAATGCTTAGGAGACATTAATCAATCAGTTTAGCTAAAATAAGTTATTCAGCTGTAGAGTTAGAGTGTTACTAATTGTCTTGATACCTAAGCATACACTTCCAGGATCTTGCTCAGAGCTCACCTGCTGTAGATAGGTGTGTTGAAGTTGCTGTGCCTGCTGATGTTGATGGAGCTGCTGTTGTTGCAGCTGCTGTAGCCGCAGGTCTCCTGGCTGTAGCTGCTGGAGGACTCTGTGCTGCTGACTTGTCCCTTGAACATGTGAGACAGGTTGCTCATTTATAGGTGCTGACACAACTAGAAAATAATAAAAAGCAAAACATTAACAGGTTACATAGGTGTACTTGTATTAATCCATTATGCCTAGATCAGTTGATATTAGGCATTAATATAACATTGCCATAGTTTTTGACAAGCATCCTTATAGAATTATACAATTTGAAAGGAAGAAAAAAATAATGATGGGGCCTATTAAACTAATTCTGCAAATGGCTCTGACTGGCACATGATAAGGAACAACTATAAACGACTTAACCCTAATACTGGTCAAATACTGGTCATGCACAGCCGCATGATGAAAAAATCTTAGCTCTTCCCAACTTGTACAAGTATGTATAAGTTTAATTTTAATAAAAGAAAAATAATACATTCGGAATATATAGAGCAAATATAATGACACTGTACGTATATATGAATTAGAAAATGTTTGTTGCCCATTTGTGTTCTTCACCTTTTTGTCCATTGCTCACTGGTGCAGAAGGAACTGTCATTTTCACAGGAGTCACAGAATTGTGGATTGGCAGTACATTGGTGTTTGCAGCTTTTGGTCTTTGTCTTGGTGCAATTGATGTTTCTGTTGGTCCAACTAATTCAGTTATTCTGTAAAAAGTAATGACTGTATTTACAGCTTTCTTTTCTGAGACATAAACAATACAAAAACATCATAAAAGTAATGCTACAGAGGACTTTGAGGGTCTGAGGGTTTCACGAAGGGAGAGGGGAAGAGAAGCTCTGGATACAAGGGTTCTTTGGAAAGATGAGATTAAAGAAAATGCCACCTAGCATAAAGGAAAATGATTAGGACAACACCACAATGGTAAACCCGTTCCTCTCCATGAAATGCAGACACTGGACACTCAGAATTATTGAATTGGAATGTTAAGCTTTGTAGCTGCCTCAAGGACTTTTAAACTTTATCATATCTGTTGTGACAGCGAATCTACACCAAACGTTCCAGCCTGACGGTTCTCATGCTGTTCAGCACACAGGATCACCTCCTTCTTGAACACAAAACTACTGAGATCTTGTTAATTTTAGAAAACTAAAAATGAATATAAAAGTTACTCAATCACAACAACATGCTTGATCCAAAGAAATGGTGGTCTGTTACAGCACACCCAAACATTTCAACACTCTCTTTTAAAGGTTTTAAAATGTTTAAAAAGATTTTTATATGTTGTAACTGTTAATACAAAGGAGAATATAACTGCGGTTCTACTGTTTATTACACTAATATTGTAATTGTTATACATGTGTGTTGTACCAGTGATGTGGTTGTTGGGGTTACGCACAGGTTTAGTCTTAGTGGTAGTCCCACTCTTAGACTATATACTGCAATGAGTATAAAAATATTATCACATGAAGTCATATCCACAAATATACAAAAACAGTAGTGTACACGTCAATGAACTGAAGTGTGATCGGTAATCCATATAAATATATGGTATATTCAGTATATCGAATGGTTTTAAAGCCACTACGGTAGTTTGTGTAAAATATATTTTTATTATGAAAATGTAAAATAAAATTGTTTCCTCATTACTTGTTGCTAAAATTTGCATTAAAACTAAAAATATATTATTTGAATGCGGATGTAAACCTGAAAGAAGCATTCACAAGCTATAATGATAAACTAATGTATACATATATAAAACTGTTTCTGTAAAATAGCCATACTTTCTTGTTTAAATTAATTTAATACTTAACATACTGTAATATCCATCATAAAATTAATAAATCTAAACAGTATACAACTTAGATCATATAATTGGAAAAAGATTGTCCAAAGGCGCTTAGCATTATTCTGGATTCAAAACCAGCTGTTTTCTGTTGACAGGCGAAATGCTTCTATACACCACGTTAAACATTTACTGTGTCACCTGGTGGCTTTACAAAACAGTGCAGCCCCATAACAGCATAGTTTAAAAAAAGCGTGGTGTGGTGTGTTGTGGTATGTATACTGCAATTTTCTGCATTATACTGTGTGCATTCTGAATGGCTTGATCTGTACATCCGTTAGAAATCCAAAGCATCTATGAAAAATCTGGTTGATATAGGACAGTACTTTCCTTGTTTGACTCTATCAAAGCTTAGATATAGATGTATGTTTCTGGTGTATTTCTTGTTTGTGAACATATACACACGCACGATACACAAACCATAAACACACCTCATAATAAAAGAGCAAAGCACTAAGTAGCAGGATTTGTTGAGACCCGAGAATCGCCCTGATTGAGCTCAGTGTCCTAGTCCTCTCTAAAGGCTCTGAGAGGCATTTAGATCTGGAGGTAACAGAAGCCCTTGGCTGAATAAGTGCAGTAATGCACAGGATTTTCAAGTAAAAGCATCACCCTACTGTATGAGCTGTTACCTCACACACGACAAAAGTAAACTCTTAAAGAAACTGAACATGTGTGCTAATTGGGTGTTTGAGAAAGTGGTGGAAATGTCTGATTATAGAGAGGAAGAGTGGAAGGTGATGGAAAGAGAGGAAAAATATAGGAAGAAGCTGAGTTTGTCAGAAGGAGTTTGGGGCGAAGATGCCTGTAAGAAAGCGTATGAACATTAGTACAAGCACAAAGGTCTAGCTGGAGCCCTGGTGCTCGGCCGACACCTGCGGTGGCAGATTAGCATGAAGGAGAAATCAGAATGGGATAAAAAAGAGAAGGAGTTCACAGAAAAAATAAAAGCGTTAAATGAAAGGAAAGATCATTTATTTGCGGCGAAAGAAGAACTAGAAAAAAAGCTAAAAGAGGCAGTGCAGGAGAATCAGAAACTAAAGGAGGAATTAGTTCCTGGTCATGCTGCACTGGTTAATGTTACAACCGGCGACTAAATTATATCCTGCTCTCCCGCAGGGGAACAAACAGGCAGGAAACAAAAACAATTGGGATCAATTCCCACAGTGGCCATATGGAGATGGGGGGTCTGACTGGGATAACACTTGGTATGAGTGTATAGAGATGGAACAGAGACTCCCTTCTTAAAGGCAGGGGGCCCGCAGATCTGTACTCTCACCCAAAGTGGGAAAGGACTTGATGTGGCAGGGGCTGGCGCTGCTGATGACAGCGCTACTCTAACTCTGTCTCGCACCCCGTCTAGGGGGTCCGCACTCGCACCTACCTTCGTTGATTCCCCCATACGGTCAAATCCAAAACCGGAAGATATTGACCGATGGGCTAGAGAAGTACCGGACACAAAATTAGGAATGCAGGGAACCTGGAGAACGCTTCAGGAATTAAAATATACTTATGGTATCACTCCCCTGACTGCCGCTATGATCCTCAGAAGGACAGGGGAAAAGCGTGTTGGAGAACTTAGACAATTGTGTGAGGATAACAGCCGGGGAGGGCGATGGGAATAGGTTTGACAGACCGGAAAAAGATATCTGCGTGTCAACAGAAAGAAAGTGAGGATGTGGCTGACTTCACTGATCGCTTCGTCACACTCTAGCTGTAATGTTCAGGACTTAGTGACGAAGATGATGTGAATAGCGACACCTCTGCTGTAATTAAACAAATTTATTTGAGCGGCCTAAAGCCTGATTTAGCCAAAGCCCAAAATAGGGCAAAATACAAGTAAACAGTTCAAAGAAATAGTTCGAATGGAACATCAAATTGAAAGGAATATGTACGCTAAATTACAGGCAATACAAACAGGGTGGACACCGCCCACGCAGAAGCGAGGAGCTGGCTCCGACACCTGATTTAGTCCAAAAGGGGAAATTACTGCAGGTCGGTGCCATTTTTGTAAAGATTTTGGGCATTTTCAAAAAAATTGCAGAAAGAGATTGGCCATTGAAGGCAGGGGTGGAAAATATTGCGACCCCCCATTCAATCTCTCGAATCAAGAGGGACAAAGAACTCTGTTTTCGCAATTACAGGATCCGAGTGAAGCAGACAAACGCGCTATCAGGGATATTTTAAACTAGGACTCCCCCTAGTGGCCTCCCTACACCTATCTCAGGAGCTGGGTGAGAAGGAACTCAAATTACAATGTACGATTAATGGGACTCAAATGTCATTTTTATGGGACACTGGGGCTCAATTATCTTGTTTATCTGAACAGTCAGCCAAACGGTGTGGTGTCATATTCACAGGGAGGGAGCTGGAGGCCACTGGTGTGGGAGGCAGTCGAATAACACTCAGAGAAACTCAAAAACTCAAGATTAGACTAGGAGATGGGGAGGTAATATTTAATGCCGTCATGTGGGTAGGACCTACCCCAGATCTTTTGGGGTGGGATGCTCTACAATACCTACAAGGAATTACATTAACCGTACATTAGGAGAGGGTGGAGGTAAACATCTGGTCCCTCCAAATAGACTAATTAAAAGGTCATTCAATTTGGACTACGGATAAGGACAAATGCGGACTTCTTGATATGGAACCTGCCACATTTACTGGGAATTCCCCGCCATACACAAAACCATATAAAATCAACAGAGAGGTGGAGGAAGGGGTTCGACCAGTAATACAAAAACTATTGACTCAAGGAATTGTACGAAAAACACATAGTACAAGCAGTCCAATATGTAAAGAAAGCCAGCGGAGCATGGCGATTCACAGTTGATTACTCAAAAGGTAATCAACACATCAACCGTCTAACCCCCTTGGTAGCAGATCCCTCTGCTATTTTTCAACTGCTGACCCCTGAGCACCAGGTGTTTTCAGTAATTGACATGGCTAATGGGTTCTGGTCTGTTCCTCTACATCCAGAGGTAGAAGATTGGTTTGCTTTTGTTGTGGATGGAGATTAATATACTTGGACCAGGTTACCACAGGGGTTTCATAACAGCCCCACCGTGTATCACATGGCACTTTGGAGGCATCTTCGGGAGTTGCCTCCAGTGTCCTCCGTCGTTATCCAATATGTGGATGATATTTTAATTGTGTCTCCCGACGAGGAAACCCACAATAAGGACCTCCAAATTACTCTCAACCATTCGGTTAAAAAGTAGTTATAGCAAAGCACAGTTATGCCTAGAAACCATAATTTACTTGTGACAGAAGATTTGTCAGGGAAAGAGGGAATTGACAGAAGACCGGGCCCAGGCAATCCGAACACACCCTAGTCCCAATACGGTTAAAGAGCTCTGATCATTTCTGGGTCTGTGCAATTTCAATAGAAATTGGGTTGATGCTTTTTCTGAAAGGGCCAAACAACTTACAGACCTATTGAAGGGGGGAGGGAGGTCCCTTGATCCTATTGCTTGGAGTCCTGAAGCTGAACACGCTTTTAATGATTTAAAACAAGCTCTGTTACAGGCGCCTGCACTGGGGTTTCTTCAGACGGATCAAGTGAAAAGAATGGATTTTGGACAGCTGTACTAACACAGGAACATGGGGGTAGGTACCGCCCAGTAGGGTATTACTCTGGATCCTTGGACGAGGTAGCCAGGGGCTGGGGACCATGTCTACGTGCCGTTCAGGCCGTCTGTCTAGCAGTGTAGGCAGTCAATAACATAGTGCTAGATCAACAACTGATTGTTCGACGCCCACATGCGGTACACACCCTCATGTCCCTGAATCGGGTCAGTCAGTTAATGTGATACGATGGAGCAAGTGGCAGGTCTTGTTAGAGGCTCCAAATATTGTTATTGAACGTGAAGGAGCTCTAAATCCAGCCACATTGTTACCTGACCCCCCAGAAGCCTATCTGTTAGAACACAGCTGTGATGTCTGGGCAATGGGAGAAGATGAGGGCATCAAAATAGCCGAGCAACCACTCGGGAATGAAGACCTAATCCTCTTCACTGATGGAACCTCATTCATAAATTCTAGTGGGGAAAGGAAAGCGGGTTGGGCTGTGACTACAGAACATGATATCCAATGTGGGGGAAGATTTGAGGTACACACGTCAGCACAGCGAGCTGAACTGAAAGCTTTGGTGCTTTCTCCTTCCTAGTGCTACCTCCCCCTCTGACACAGCGCAGTGGGCGGCACGCTGTTTTCAGAGCCTCTGACTGGGGGAAAAAAGACCTGCTGATCTGTTCTACATACCAGGAAGACAACAGAATATTATTTTTTCTATTCGAGACGTGTTGTTTTTATGAAATTCGTGTATTTTAAACATTTAATTAAGAAGTAAAAACCTTACAGCGTAGACAGAAATTCTAAGCTGATCACAAGGAAGAAAAATCACCCATTTTTCACGCATGAAAAGTGGTTATTAACTATCAAAACCTGTTTTTATAGCTTTTAAAATCATGCAATATCTAAGTAGGAACACATCATTATATCTACTTTTTTATTTATTTTTTAAGAATTAAATTGTTTGCCCAGCCTAATTTTAAAGACCTCTACTTGTGAAACTTTTCACAGCCTGAACATAAAACTATTATTAAAAGCTTATTAAAAACAGCCCCCATGGTGTTCAAACCAATTTTTTTTACACAGAAGACTGTGTAAAACAAAGAATTTAATCTCTTTTGAGAATCTTCAGCAATCATTTCAGTTTCAACACAGTTAGAAATCCAATACGGGGCAGCTTATACTTTATATACTGTCTATATATTTATAGCTGTCCAAATCTAAGTGAAATCTACTGGAGGACAGGTGTTCAGAATGGCTCACTTATAACCCTAGAGTTCAGTTACTTTTTGCAAAAAAACAAAAAATGTACTTTAAGGTGCAAAAGATTTATATCTTTATACAGTTTTGTTTCAAAGTTAGTTTTTGTGCTCACCTCCAGCAGAGATATGTTTATAGTTCCAAAGATATAACCATAAACTCTGGCAGCACTATAGTCCTTCTCAAAGTTATTAATTCATGTCTATCTATCGATAAAAGTAAGCAAGTAACACCAAGACCTATAACCCACCAACAGCCTTTGAAAAAAGTGAGACATGAGGGTAAAGTTGGCTACCTGGCTTTAGTTATGCTCTTCTTAGCCGCAACCTCACTGGCTGTCATTGGCTCTGGAAGCGCTGAGGGAAGAGGAGAGCTCTGCATGTAAAATGAAAAAAACAAACAATGAAATAACCCATCAGCACATCAGGATTTTTTGCACAAGCTGTTTAGTTTTTGTTTTTTACATTACCATTACCTAAGTTCAAAGGAAGTTTCAGTTTAATTTCAAAAGCCCATAAAGTGACAAATACTCTGTGTGTGGTATTCATGCTGACATTTCCTGATTAAGCACATTCCATAAAACAAAAACAATAAAACCATTAATCTGTAATAAACTGCATATACTATATACATAAAAAACATGACAAGTCCTAATTGCCTTAGCATTGAAGTGCAAAAAACATTATTTGGTTTTCTTATCTTTTTTCATTTAATTAAGAAACAGAACAAAGCTGTAAAGTATTTAACATGTAAGAGAAGAAAAACTTAATGTGGACTGCTTAATGTGGATATAGTGTTACAGCCTACAAGACATATCATGTGAACTGGAGCTTGCAACGGATATTATTTAAATACTTCACAATTATCATCCATCTCAAGCAAAACAGCAGGAAAATATAAGGAAATAGTGCAGTGCAAAACTGATTGTATTACATAACATGATAAAACGTACAGAAAGGTTTGGCACAGGGTTCTCTTTTCCAGCCAACTTGAAGGCAAAATAAGAGACCTGATAGATGTCAGGTCTTTTCTCTAGATCTGGCTCTAACATATAACCTGAAAAAGCAAAACACCACCACCTTAACAACATTTCAAAAAAAGGCCACAAACAATTGCACAGAAAAACCAGCTCCATATTTATATTTTACATCACTGGTGTCATTACAGTTATATTATTATTAGCACATCTGAAATTAACTCAAGATAATGCAATCAAATGATTTTACCACATGGGGGCACTGGTGTTTATGTTCATATAAACCAAGTCTCATTCTATTTCTCTGTGTTTTAAAAACTACAGCCACACTACAGATGATTTGAAAATTAAATAAATTGTAAGCAGTTTTTAAAAGTATTTTCAATGTGTACATAAAGAATGTAAATATTGTTAGTGACTAAAAAAAGGGTTCTACTTACGAATTAAGCAGTGCATTTTGAATGAGAATTTTGAATTATCTGGAACAATAAAAGTTCCATCACATATTGCAACTTGACTCTCCCCGAATGGAAGTGAGAAGAAACAAAGCTTGTACAACAAGCATCCAAGCGCCTGAAATTAAACAAAAGCAAATAAATGTGTATAAAAAAATGCTTTCTCTTACATTACAAACACTCCGAACAAAAAATTATCTCAGGAATCATGTTTGCAGTATTGTGAATTACTATATTTATAAGTGATAACAAATGACTCTTTCCCACTTATCTTGAACTACAGTAGGTCTTTCTCATCACCTTGCTGTTCTCTTTGATTTCAAATTTCCTGTCTTGCACTACACTTCCTACACCCTCACACTCTTAAGTTTTCACAATCTGCAATCAGCAGACCAAACTAGTTTGACCAAACTAGATTTGATAATTCTGCTCTGTCCTCACTGTCTTGCTTGCTTTTAATTGCTTTTGGCACCTTAGTTCCTCTTTAAAATTAAATCATCTCCTTTACTTTCTCCACCCCATGGTATACTGACCAGTTGTTCTCAATGATTAAAGTCTCCCACAAACTAGAATGTAGGTGGCATCTTTCTGGCTTGAATGTACATCTTCAGCCTTGGAAGGAGCTCTTGATTGAATACAAGGATGCAACCGAGTCAGAATCAACTTCTCCCATATCCTTGAGAACAACCAATACAATCCTAGATAACTCTACTCCACCATCAATAGACTGCTTAAGCCAAACTGCTCTAATACATTACCTACTTCTTCCCAACTTTGCAACCATTTCTTAAAATGTATTGGTTCCAAGAAAAACAATATCCAGCATCACATTCTCTCCACAACTACACTGTTACTATTACACCTCTTCCCTTCATCCCCAGTTTTGATGGTAACCTTCTTTGTAGTTTCTCTCAACTTGACACTGCATGTCATAGTAAATCTCTTGTGTATCTAAATTCACACTAAACAAACTTCAACAGCCAGAATCCTGATCATGTCATGTGTAAGTAATCACATTACGTCTGACCTGGAGTCCTTGCACTGGCTAGTTTTGAATTGACTTCAACATCCTCACCTATAAGGCTCTACATGGCTTGGCACCTCAGTACCTATCAGACTTATTTTTGTCCATCTTGCCACCTCAGAACCTTCATTCATCTGACTCTGGTCTCATGTTTGCCCCCCAAACTCATCTACTTGTGACAGGGCTTTCTCTTGTTATGCCCCAAAGCTCTGTAATTCTATCTCCAAGGATGTCGGAGAGTCACATTTCATCAGAGCTTCAAGTATAAACTTAAAACTTTCTTCTTCAGAAAGGCTTTGATTTAAATTATGCTTATATAAAATAAAGTTTATTATAATCACTGACTGTCAGCATTAGAAAGGAAGTGTAATCAGGGAATTTGTTAATTTCTCACAGTTCTGTGAAGCAGGAAATTAGCCCAATTTTTTCATTTACTGCTTTACAAGTACCTGCCATTCAATATAAACTTTACTTGCTTCCATTACAAAACAAGTTTTTGTGTTACAGACTAGCTTAGCTTTTTCGTTTCATGGAGTCATTTTCAAAGTAATTGCATATATTATTGCAATATCAAACACATTACGCTAAGTTTAAATCAAGAACACGCTTATACTCTCAAATGTAAAAATATAACTAATTTGCTTTCTCTTTTACATAATTTTTTTTTGCCTAATATCATGTTGACAAACAATCCTTTTACCAGGATTGTGAAAAGAATGATGCGGTGTCTGTAGTAATTCATTTTCTCTCTACTGCACTTACTGCTACTGGTGACAAAGCAGGATCAAACATTTATGTCTCCACCTCCACAATTCATTCCAAGCACTTAACAGCAGTATGATATGCTCAACTATGTTTCTGTATTTGATTTTACAGGTGCAAAGTTTAAATATTTGAACCATGTGTTGGTTCTAGACCATGTCTTGTACTCACTAAGAACATTTAATGGTTTTAACAGAAAACTTTGGCTCTCCCCTCTTCAGAGAAGTTTCTTTATTGTTTTTATGAGATCTAATTTAAATTACAAGAAGCATTCCACTTTGGAGACAATTAGTTCAATTGGTTAGGTTTTCTAGTTTTTCATTGCAGCTCTTACATCTGCAATTATGCCAATAATTGTCTCCAATATTATTTTTATAGTACTAGCCTTCTGTAGTTTGCACTCCATAATGTGAAAAACAATTTATTGCAGTTTCCTACAGGTTTCACTCTTCTTTGAAAAGAATAATTAAGTAGATACAACCATTACATTATATCTCTATCCTTAAAGTTACAATAGATCCCCAATTATGAAATCATCCTCTAGTACTTTCTTTTTGGGTAGAGAGCAAAAACCATCTGGAAAACAAAAGCTGCCATCAAGTACTGAGTCAGTTATATGAGACTAACGTGGATTAACATTTTAATTTACTTTGATTACTTTTGACTTTTCTTTTGATGACCCTGGTGTTCATATCAGAAGATACCCTGCTCAATGCAATGTCTCCACACTACATGTGATAGCAGTTGATTCAGTGATGTTTCACTTAGATAAAGAATTAACAATGATCTTACCCATATATCAGATTTAGTGGTGATTGGCTTCCCTGCATAAAGATTAATCATTTCTGGAGCTCTGTATGACAGGGTTGTGTACCTATGAATGAGATAAGTTGCATAAAATCATCAAAACACCTTTAAATACTATTTACACTACTTGTGACTGCAGTATAAGAGTATATAAGAATATATATAGACATAGTCCTCAATTTCTAATGTCCCAATTAATAATTTAATAATGGACCTTCTTATAGATTTATCCAAAAATTGAGATATTAATAATACTTTTTCAGTATTGTTAGTATTAATGTAAGGTTTTACTTGGACACGTGAAACAACAGGATGGTTTTACTGACTTGACCAATTATTAACTGTACATGAACATTGTTTTCTTCAAATCAATTGGACAGCTACATGTGAGTGAGTCTATCATCACTTTTTGTTGTGTTGGTGCATGTGTTGGCAAGACAAACATCCTTAATATGTATGTTTTATCAATGCTTGTAAAATGATATTCAATAAGAAGAGTGTTGGTCATAAAAGGAACAGGAAAAAATTAACCAAAGGAATCATTCATCTGAACTATGTAATCCAGGAGTGTAAAACCGCTTTGAACTGTGATTCCTTAACTGAGAGGCACTGGACCATGGGGATCTTGAGTCCATGGAAAAAAAAATCAAATTGTCAAGTTCAGCTGGAAAATTAATCTCTTTATGACATTAATCACACTGCTATTCAATTGTACATTTTTAAACAAAACTAAAAAAAAAATTAAAATGTGTGGCTTGGCCAAAGAAAGAGCAATGTTCAGTATGTCTGTGTGTCTTTAAAATGTGAATGAAAACTGTTTAACAAAGAAGTGATCGAGGCACACAAAGTTAAATTCATTGTATCACAGTGCAATGCCCCTCCTCCACTCACTCGATGTGCGAGTATCAGAGCACATCACCTGTCAAGTTTTTTTTTCCAAGCTAGAGTGACATTGAGCTTTTGTATATTTCAGCTCTGCTTATTTTTTATCATCTTTAATTCTAACCTACACAATGTTAGGACTAAAAAAGAATATTATGTGCCACACAGGAAACAAGCGACTTTTATGTTCTGTAATGCAGTGTAACACTTACTTTTTTATTTCATCTTCCACAGTTGTAACTCCATCTTTATGTGGGTGGAGAACTTTGTGTGTGGCACTGCCAAAGTCACACAAGACATAGTTCCCTTGGTCATTTAAAAGTATATTTTCAACCTGGCATGAAAATCCATGATACTCAAATTAAAACATTACAAAATAACATCTTGCAAAAATCAAATACATCCACGCATTTTGTAACCACTTTATCCAATACAGGGTCACAAGGGAGCCGGACCTTATCCAAGTAAGCAATGGATACATGACAGGATACACACAGGATGCAGGATGGCTAGTCAGACCTTGCTAGTAAATTGCAAGGCACACACAGGAACAGTTTTCCCAGAAGACAATTAACTACAAGCTCATCTTTGGACTATTGAAGAAAACAGGAACACCCAGAGGAAACCCACATAAACCCAAGGAGAACATACAAACTTCATGAAAATAACATCACATGTATGGATCTGAACCCAGGACCCCAGTACCGCGAGGTAGCAATTTAGCAGTTTAATAAATGGACAAATTTCGTATACAGTACACTGATCCAGGTCTAATCCTTGGGGAGGCCTAAGTGTGAAGGTCTGATTAGGAGTATCTAGATGCTACAGAACTCCATTTGTTGTGTTTTAAGGCAGCTTGAGTGCTTCGCAATACTTTGATACTGGGACTACATATGCAGCTTCTCCTGTGGGTTCACCCTGACCAAATAAGAATGCAACAGTTATTGTGTGAATGTTCTCTGATCTTACTAAGCTTTAATCCCATTCCATGACTAGCTGGGAAACCAGTTTGCATCAGAGACCAGTGAACAAGAACACGCACGCTTTCCTCGAGAAGAATGGAACAGAATCCCACAAGACATCATCTGCAACTTGGCACAACACATGTTCCAAATGTACAGCTTAAATTGCGTCAAACACTGGTCTTAAAAACTAGCAGTGTTAAAAACACAACAAATGTTATTGGTTCTAATACTATATTTTTGCATTTTAATGCCTCTCAGTATATTTAATAGCATCTAAATAGCAAATACAGTTCAATGATTAGTTATTAACTTTTCCCACATTAAATAATTGCTAGTGTACAGCATTAACTTCAAATTCACTTTGACCAAAAGTGCAGTACATACGATGATTGGTTTCCCTTATTAATACTTATTAATAAATTATTACTTATTATTATCCCTTATTAATCAAGGATATTTGTGGTCCTGTTTATGAAATAACAGATACCTTCCATACCTTCAGGTCCCTATGAATGACTGGCGTTTTGCACTGATGTAACCTGGCAACAGCCTCACAGGTGTCGCAGAATATTGTCAAGACTTCCACTTCACTGAAACCAGTATGCAGCCGCTGATTCATCTGCTTTACCACTTGACCCGCTGTGAAAACAATTACACATCAGACTAAAAAATCTAGAGAAAGCCCCCCCAGGAAGAAATGATTAACTAATTTTTTGCTCTGTTCACACAGGTTGAAGTTCACTTTCAATCAACAACTTTTTTGTGGGGCACCAGTTTGCACTTTTTGTTACATGATTTGTGTAATACATAAATTCAAAATCTTAGCCTCCCAGACTGAACTGCTCTAAAATGTCAAATGCACTACTATTTTAATACATGTATTATTCATAAACATTATGATTCCCTATGGGGTGGAGCACAACAGGGGCACAGGTTCCAATCAGGCCCAAAGGACAAACACATCCCACACACACAAGACTTAAAGGGAAAAATAAGGTTGTTTTATTGAAACAAGCCAGGTAGGTCCTGTGGTAAAACAACTGCAAATAACAGCCCACGCCAGAGAAAAATAACAGCTCACACAAAGTGGCGGTGGGGAAAAGCTTAGTCAGAGCATTGTTCTTACCGGAGCTTGTGAAAATAATCCTTCTCAGGAAACCTTTAGAAGAGGGTCAGGTTTGGTCTGCACTTGCTAAAGGCTGGGCTGGGTGATCTGACAGCATTTCTTCTTGGAATTGGCACCTTGTCAACACCATCTTCTTTTCTGCTTGGCACTCTTATTTACCCTGTCTGCGCAGCTATACCTGCTTAAGATCTGAGTTCTGCTATCTTGAGCGAGAGGATTACCTCCACCCATCAAATGTTTACCCCATTAAACAGCACAAGGAAGGGAAGCATCCTCCCCCTGGATCATGCACTCATCTTAAGTTCCTTCCTTGTTCTCCAAATGACAGCCATCTCTCTCCTCGTAGCTGCACATGTTCTCTCTCAGAGCACACAGACGTTTGTGTCACTACCCCGTTATTCAAGTGTAGTTAACAATATAGTGAAAATAAAAGAGTGGTTATCCATCTGCCGTTACTGTCAGGCTTCTTTATAGTCAGATGACTTCTCTCTGGCCAGTTTGTTCTGCACCCTCTTTGAAGACCTCAAACCTATGTGGTACAGATGCAGCCATTCAAAATGGTGGGATATTTCGCAGTATACCCCGGTGGGCGTGTCCCATCAAAACGCAGTATCACGCGGTGTATCACGTCATTTGACGTCATACTGGAAAGTATCCGGAATCACCTTGTAAAACCGCCAGGAGGAGCCAATAAACCTTGACCTCTCATGTACACCATTTTAGCTTTTAAATTTAAACTGTGTATTACAGCATGTTAATCATCAGTCATTAAAAAGTTGGTATATTTTATGAAAGCAAGATTGCTCAGTTGGGCAAAAGTACACAACCTACCTTTATCATAAATATTTTAATTATGCAGAAATATTTTATGCATCAAAGCCTTTACCGAAGATATTACTCATATTATTAATAATGAATGACCTTGGACTAGCTGTAAACTCAAAGTATTACGCTGGTCCACATTATCTGTAACCGTCATTTTAAATGAAAAGACTTTATTAACTAACAAGGACGGGACATTAGCTAGCCAATATGATAAAGGAATAAATTACTTCTTTTATTTATTTTTTTAGCACATTTATTTGAACATTTCCATCGATTGTACAAGCACTGAAAAACTGTCCAATCCCTAGTTCGTCGGGCATTTTCTTTTAGTATAACAGACATAAAAACTCCCTTGCTTTAAACAGAGCGTTTCATAATTTCTAACAACGAAAATTATTTAAACTGCGGCACTTATCATTCAACCAGAGCTCAAAATATCACAAGGATCCTCAAGAGCACAACAAAGACTTTTGTAAAAGATAATTGTACCAGATACATGAGAATCCAAACTTTTTTATCTACGTCTTTAAAATTTATCACACAGTAACAAGTCAAATTTCAGGGGCGTCCATATACCAGAGATTATGGTACCACTTCAGAAGGGTGTCAGCCAGTCAGATTCCAGGACCGGAATTATCTGTTTTATAATCGAGAATATGTAAGCACGTATCTAAATAAATTAATCATGGTATTCATTTAAGGATCTAAATTTCTAAATCTATGTATCTATATAGCTGGTAGTATTACTGGATTTCACTTTCTTTGTAAACACGTTTTGTTAACACCCGAATCGCAGATGGATTCTGTTTTTTGGTCTGTTATCGTCTGTAGCTCAAATCCTGCTTAACTAAAAATTAGACGCAAGAAGAGTATTATTGGACAATGTTGTGAGGCTCTGATGGAATTTCTCTGTAAACTGAAGAGTTATAGAGGAGACAGGTTGTGTATCTCTTCTTTTGACACTTGTAAAAAAAAACATTCCAATGTTAATGCAACACGGAAGATAATGTGGTGTACTGGTCGTTAGTGAAAAGATTTAATTATTTAATCTCTTTACTGTGCACATTTTAATCCTCTTAGTATTGAATATTTATATGGAATTTTACCACTAAAGGGAAATTTTAGTAGCTAAGCATAAAACGCAGAGGAGCATAACGAAGGTCATAAACGATATTAATTTAGGAACATAAACATATTATGTAAACTGTATGTTGCTGTTATTGGTATTTTAAAGAAAAAATACACACCAATACTCAATTTCTCCTAATAATAATAATAATAATAATAATTAATAATTGCTTACACTTATATAGCGCTTTTTCTGGACACTCCACTCAAAGCCCTTTACAGGTAATGGGGACTCCCCTCCACCACCAATGTGCAGCATCCACCTGGATGATGCGACGGCAGCCATAGTGCGCCAGAGCGCTCACTACACATCAACTATCAGTGGGGGGAGAGCAGAGTAATGAAGCCAATTCACAGAGGGGGATTGTTAGGAAGCCATGATTGATAAAGGCCGATGGGGAAATATGGCCAGGATGCCGGGGTTACACCCCTACTCTTTTCGAGAAACGCCCTGGGATTTTTAATGACCACAGAGAGTCAGGACCTTGGTTTTACGTCTCATCCGAAGGACGGCGCCTGTTTACAGTATAGTGTCCCCGTCACTATACTGGGGCATTAGGACCCACATGAGCCGCAGGGTGAGCACCCCCTGCTGGCCTCACTAACGCCTCTTCCAGCAGCAACCTTAGTTTTTCCAAGGAGGTCTCCCATCCAGATACTGACCAGGCTCACATCTGCTTAGCTTCAGTGGGTTGCCAGTTGTGAGTTGCAGGGTGATATGGCTAAAGTATATTGACCTTTTTTATATTTCAAAAATATAATACAGTATACGTTCGTACTGTATGTACAGTACACAGCGGTACTGCAGGTTGAACTGTAGGGCGCAAATCCACCTGAACCCAAAAGCCCAACATATTAATGTGCATTCGCCTGTTGCTGCGCGGTTTTCATCACTCTCTGCGGGAATGCTGGCTGTGATGAATTAAACCGGTTTCACAGGTATTTTCAACCCCCAACCAATGTTGTTTCATCGGTTGTTATCCTGTAAAGCGATTTGAGGAGCCACCTTTAAAGGCGCTACATAAAATAAAGTTTATTATTATTATTATTAATATTGATCATATTTTTCCTCCAAGAACTTGTAAATTGTTGCTGTTATTGTTGTTGTTATCCTGTAAAGCGCTTTGAGAAGCATACTGTCCAGCTTGTAAGGTGCATTCTCTTTTAAAATTATAAGTAGAGCTTTGGACTTATTAATGCTCCACTTACAGCAACCCAATGTAAATACATTTTGTCTCCAAATCCACCACCACTTGTATGAATCATAGCCCTGCCAAATGATGCAAATTCCGCTGCAATGGTTGTGTGCAGGAATTTTTCAGTATGGCATCTCCATGTTCAAGTAAACACTGCTCTGTGTGCAAATGCATTTACATTTTTTTTAAAAAAAAGCCACTTTTAAAGGCGCTATCTAAAATAAAGTTTATTATTATTATTAATATTGATGATATTCTTCCTCCCAGGACTTGTAAAATTGTTGTTGTTATTGTTGTTATCCTGTAAAGTGCTTTGAGAAGCATACTGTCCAGCATATTGTATTTCATTGCACTTTGACAGATCGTCTTATAATCACTTGTTGTTAGAATATCCCCCAAGAGGATATTCCCCCCAAGAGGATATAGAGGATATCCCCCAAGAGGTATCCAGGTAACAGTGAAACTGGCGTACAGTCTGGGGAGATCGCCCGTTTTCCATGTAAATAGTTCCCTGGTTCCGCACCCCTTGGTGTCTCTCTGTCTCTCTCAGGCCCGCGCTCTTGCCGGGCTTGTCTTGTGTTTCTCTCTCGTCTGGGCACGGGAGTGCTGTTGGCGGGTGGCGACGTAGAAGAAATAAAGCGCAGTTTTTAACTCCACAGGTTTGAGTCTTCTTTACGAACCCAAATTCATTACATTGGTGTCAGAAGCGGGAGGATGGACAGTGAACGGCCGATGATGTTGGACTCAAAGCGCCGGTTCCCCCCAGCAGCCGAGTGACCCCCTAAAGCGCCTTTTGGGGACGAGCAGCAGCTGCCAGGGGCCGGGACGACCCCTTAGCACCGCCAGTGGCCACTGCCCTTATCAGGGCTACCCCACGGTGAAGTACTCAGCGGAAGGGGGGCCCTTTCCCGGGTCGCCTCAGGCCATGTGGCAGGAAGGAGACGCCAGACCAGCAGGGTCCAGCCCGCCACCCCTGCTCCAGCCTGCGCTGATGAGACCGAGCCGTTATAATGGGGAGATCCCATGGCAGATGTTTGAGGCCCAGTTTCAGATGGCAGCCTGGGCAAACAGCTGGTCTCAGGTGGAGATGGTGGGCCACCTCGCCACCGTCCTTGAGGTGAAAGCCTGCCAGGCGTTGCTGGATGTACCCGGGGACCAGCGGTACAACTACGCGGCGTTGGCGTCGGCCCCCCGGAGGCTTTTTGGCAGGAGAGGGGAGGGCGCCGGGACTGCTGCGGGCAAGGTTGGCCCAACGCTGCTGCTTTGCGGGAGAGCCACTGGGTCCAGTCACCGCAGACGTGGCGGATGCCCACCGGGAGATAGCGCTCAAGGCGTTTCTCTGGGCCCTGGTGCCGACTGAGGTG